AAGAAAGAAAGAAAGAAAGAAAGAAAGAAAGAAAGAAAGAAAGAAAGAAAGAAAGAGAAAAGAATTGCTGAGTCATTAATTACATCTACATTATCTTAAGAATCAGGCTTTTTCAGCCATTCAAGAGCAGCTTATAAATTGAGACTCTTCCTTAGCAATCAACAGTATTGGTGAGTTTTCCCAGGGATTCAGGTACTGGCACCACTGAGCAGCAGTCATGCAGAGCCTAGCTTCCAGGCCAGGTGATAGTGGGGAGGGACAAGGGTTGGGAATAAGGCTAACAAGCACCTTTAACTGATGTAGAGACTGGAAGAACTGGAAAGATGACTTCCTGGATTCTAAGGTAATTATATATATACCTCATGTGATGTCTGGCAAGTAGTGGAGACTCAAAGATGTTCCCAGACAAACAATCACTTTGTGAAGAATGGAAGCTATTAAAATAACCCAGTATTCTAAGCCCCAACTTCTTCAAAGTTAAGACCATTCTTAAGGAATATGATGAAAAGCTATGACTATGACACGAGGCTCATTCATTATCCCTATTTGACAAGAGCCTGTAAGACTGAAGTACATGAATGTTTGTGCTCTTCAACATTAATCATTCTGATTTTATGTTTTGCCCTAGAAAGTCTAACATTTCAATGAAGTGTAAGGATGGCACTAGTGAAGGAAAAGGCATATTATTTCATGAGCAATGGAGCTAAGTGCTACGCAACTGAAAAACAGAATATGCCTTTCCTCAACCCGCTGGCCTTCTCTGAATCCTACTTGCTGCATGGCTTCCTAACCTTGTCTTTCTAGTCCAACTTCTCAGCATTTTTTCCACTTTAGTGAACATCTCATTTTAGATTTTTATATATTATTTTCATATTAAAATAGAGTAAGTCTGAGTTCTTACCGATTCAGCATCTAGTCTGCCCCATTATTCTGTTTATAGTACATTTGCCATAGCAATGAAAAAACACTGATTTACTAATAACTATATGTCACATTTCATATATCCATACTCTGGTCCAGGATACCACAATATAGTTGGTCATCTTGACTCCTCTGAAAGTTGCTCCCTTTTTTAAAAAATGATTTTGATAGTCTTGAGAATTATTGGTCAAGTCTCATCACACTGTATCAAGGGAACCTACAATCAATGGGACTAAACACTGCTTGTCTACTTTCTTTTTGTGAAGTTTCTGCTTTCTCAACCCTACTTCTTTTTAACGTCAATCACTATGTGTAGCTCTTCAAGAGGGCAACGTGTGTGTACAGAAATCATTTAGAAATATTTTGTGAGGCTAGAGAGATATCTCAAGAGTGTACTATTCTTGCAGAGGACTTGGATTCTGCCCCAGCACCCACATTAGGAAGCTCACAGCTGCTGGTAACTCTAGTTACAGGGACCCAATGCCTTCTTCTGGCCTCCACGAGCACCTACATGTACATGGTACACACAACGTTTGTAGACACACACACAGAGCTGGTGGGACATGAAAAGAGCTGGGGAAAAGGACATTTTAACTAAAATGTACTTAAAGTCTTTAAAAATATTTTGTATGGAAATTATGTTATCACGGATTCAAAGTGATATATCTTCTAATTTGGTTATAATTTTATACCATTGTATGTTTCTTTTGCTCAAAGTTATTTTAGTGTTAGACACTGAAACTTTCTCAAGTTGGCATCTATGCCCCTATGATAATCCCTTATCCTATTTTTAAGTCCTTCTGCTTAAGGCTCATCTTGTATATTCTCTACCACAGCTTTAGAACCAGCTATTTGCCTAAGAGTGCTGGTTCCTTCTTTTGGTTACTTGGCTCTGGGCAGTCTCATTATTACTGGGGTGTCCCTTCTTCTAGACCCCCTCAATGGACAGAACCAGAAAATACATACTTACATATATACATTAAATTTTCACAGATTAGTGTTTGTGTGTGTGTGTGTATCACAATTCCAAATATGCTTTTTATTATTTAGAGATAATGTCAAATTATGCAATTTTAAGTCATTGAACAATGATTCAGGGAAGATTTTGAAAGAAGCATTTTACAGAAGTTGTGAGTACAGCATACTTACTTAAAAGATATGGGAAGTTGTAATTCTGAACTAGCTGGAAGTGTTTTCCCTGCACGGCAATGTCAGGGATGTACTTCTTCAAGCTTATGAGTACTTCTCCAAGTGACTTCTATATCATGTCTTATTAGTAAGTATGTATGAGTTTTAAAATTAACTTCATAAACTATTACAGTGCATTAGAAGTGCATTTCAGATACTTGTGAATACTTCATAACATTGCACTTTTAACAGTTTTGTGGAGAAATAAGAAAAAAAATACCCACAGATTAGAAATTAGGTGTGGCTGTGGTTTTTAAGAAAAAAAGCTGAAATTTCAAGATCTAACACTCTTGATACTGGTAGTAAAATAGTGCTATGTGGTACTTTTGAACTACCTGGGATGCTGGAAGAACTAGATCCAGATTTAATGCTGGAGCTGGATAAAGAAGTCCAATCATAAGCAGACTCTGTCCTCTTCAAGGCTTCTTGGTAATTTGTGTAGAGCTGCTTCCCATACTAAACAAAAGAGGACAAACAGTGACATTAAACTCTGAACTGGTATGTGGAAGAATGTGGGAAGGGAGAGAAACAGTTGTACACTACTTTAGTTTCTACTAATACCTACAGTACTATAGATAGTCCTTAATTCTAGAGAGTTACATTCACGCTCATTTTCCTCAGTTGTAAGGATAGCAGGAAGACAATTTTATTGGTGTTTATAATAGAAATAAAAGTTTTATCACTCCAAGAGATCTAGGGCTAGATTCTTAGTACTATTCAGGAGCACCATTCCAAATCTACTTGATAAATAACCATAGCTTAATTAAAAACTTTTTATTTGGGGGTTGGAGAGATCTGCTTAGGCTAAACTTGACTACATAATAATCATATAATGCAAGAGACCTGCCTCCCAGCTGCACCACCAGCCCCGCCACCCACTAGACTCTGTCCCTCCAGGACACACTCCACTGTACAACCCCATGCACCTGAACACCCTTCCTGAGGCCAGCCCTCCCCTGCAACCTCAGCAGACTAAACAGGCACAGATACAGATACAACACACACCAGTTGGAAGAACAGATGGGTAAGCAAACGCCAGTGTAAGAATACATTCAACAATCGAAAGAGCAATATGACAGCCAGAACCTGGTGATCCTATAAGAGCAAGACCTGAACACACACAAAAAAAGACCTCAAAAATAACTTTATGAAGATGAATTCCCTCAAAGAAATCAAGGAAAAGACAAACAAAAAATTGGAAGAAATCAATAAATTCTTTTTAAAATGCAAAGAAAGTCAAGGAAAAGAAACAGACAAAGGAATGGTTCAAGACTTGAAAAATGAAATACAGACAATAAACAAAACACAAATGAAGGGAATTCTGGAAACGGAAAATCTGGGAAAGTGAACAGGAATTAACAGATGCAAGCATCACCAACAGAATAAAAGAGATATAAGAGACAATCTCAAGTGCTGGAGATACGATAGAGGAAATAGATTCATCAGTCAAAGAAAATGTTAAATCCAATAAATTCCTAACACAAAACGTCCAGGAAACCTGAGACACCATGAAGACCAAACCAAAAGAATAATTAGGATAGAAGGAGAAGACCAGTTCAAAGACGTAGAAAACATATTCAATAAAACTTTCCAACCTAAAAGAGGACATGCCTATAAAGGGAGAAGAAACTTACAGAACACCAAATAGACTGGACCAAACCAAACCAAAACAACAACAACAAAAGTTCCCTTGTAATATAATAAAACACTACAAAATAAAAAAAGAATATTAAGAGCTACAAAGAAAAAAGGCCGAGTTATGGCATATCTATCAATCAGAATTACACCTGACTTCTTAGTGGAAATGCTAAATGCCAGAAGGTCCTGGACAGACATTTTGCAGACACTAAGGGATCATGGATGCCAGCCCAGACTACTACACCCAGCAAAACTTTCAACCATCATAGACAGAAAAAACAAGGTATTTCATGATAAAACCAGATTTAAACAATACCTATCCACAAATCCAGCCCTACAGAAAAATTAGAAGAAAAACTCCATCACAAGAAAGCTAGCTTTTATGCATCCACAAAAATACATTAAATAGGTAATCTCACACCACCAAAACCCAAAGAAAGGAAACACACCTACTATCACCACTACCATCACCAAAACAACAAGAAAATAACAGGAATTAAGAATCACTGGTCATTATCATCTTTTACAATCAATGGATTCAATTTGCCAATAAAAAGACAAAAGTTAACAGAATGGATACAAAAACAGGATCTATCCTTCTGCTGCATAAAAGAAATACCTCAATGTCAAAGACAGACATTACCTCAGAGTAAAGAGTTGGGAAAAAGATTTTCCAATCAAATGGGATTAAGAAGCAAACTGGTGTAGTTATCCTAAAATCTAACAAATTAGAACAAACTAAAATCAATCAAAAGAAATGGAAGACATTTCATATTTATCACAGGGAAAAAAATCTATCAAGAGGAAATTTCAATTTTGAACATCTATGTCCCAAATACAAGGGCACTCACATTGTAAAAGAAACATTATTAAAGCTTAAATCACACATCAAACCACAAACACTAATAGTAGGAGACTTCAATATCCCACACCCCCCAATGGTCAGGTCAATCAGACAGAAACCTAACAGAGAAATAAGAGAACTAACAGACATCTATAGAATATTCCACTCAAACACAAAAAAATATACCTTCTTCACATCACCTCATGGAACCTTCTCAAAAATTGACCACATACTCAATAACAAAGCAAACCTCAGTAGCTACAAAAAAAAATGGAATAAACCCCTGTATCTTATCAGATCACCATGATGGTAAGAGCTCAACAACAACACAAACTAGAGAAAGCCTACAAACTCATGGAAACTAAACAGTGCTCAAATGAATCACCTCTGGGTCAAGAAAGAAATAAGAATATTAAAGACTCCCTAGAATTTAATGAAAATGAATCCACAAATACCCAAACTTACAGAACACTATGAAAGTAGTGCTAAGAAGAAATTTCATAGCACTAAGTGCCTACATCAAGAATCTGAAGAAATCCCACACTAGCAACTTGAAAGCACCCTTGAAAGCTCCAGAACAAAAAGAAACTCACCCAGGAGTAGATTGCAGGAAATAAGTAAAAATTGTGGGCTGAAATCAATAAATCAGAAACAGAATACAAAAAAAAAAATCAATGAAACAAAGAGTTGGTTCTTTGAGAAAAATCAAGAAGATAGACAAACCCTTATAAAAATTAAAAGACACAGAATATCCAAATTAGCAAAATAAGAAATGAAAAGGGGGATATAACAACAAACACTGAGGAAATCCAAAGAATCTTTCGGTCATACTTCAAAAACCTCTACATAATTGGAAAATCTAAAAGAAACGGAAATTTTCTTGACCAGATAAACAATTTAAATAAACCTACAACCCCTAAGGAAATAGAAACAGTCATTAAAAGCCTCCCAACCCCACAAAAGGGCGATATGGTTTCAGTGCAGAATTCCACCAAAATTTCAAGAGCAAATACCAACAAATTGTTCCAAGACTGTAGAAACAGAAGGAACATTGCCAAGTTCTTTTTACAAGGTTACAGTTACTCTGATACCCAAACTATACAAAGATACAACAAAGAAAGAGAATTACAAACCACTTTCCCTCATGAACATTGATGCAAAAATACTCAATAAAATACTGTCAAATCGAATCCAAGAACACATCAGAAAAATCATCCAAGTAGGCTTTATCCCAGAGATGCAGGGATGGTTCAACATATGAAAATCTGTCAATGTCACCATTACAAATAAACAAAGAAGAAAAACCACATTAGATGCTGAAAATGACTTTCATAAAATCCAACACCCCTTCATGATAAAGGCTCTGGAGAGAAAAGGTATACAAGGAACATACTTAAACATAATAAAGGCAATAGACAGCAAGCCGATGGCCAACATCAAATTAAATGGAGAGAAACTCAAAGCGATTCCACTAAATTCAGGAACAAGATAAGGCTGTCCACTCTCTCCATATCTGTCCAATACAGTACTCAAAGTTCTAGCTAGAGCAATTAGGCAACAAAAGGAGCTCAAGGAGGTACACTATTTGCAGATGATATGATAGTATACATAGATGACCCCAAAAATTTTATCAGGGAACAGCTGATAAATAACTTCATTAATGTGGCTGGATACAAGATTAACCCACAAAAATCAGTAGCCCTTCTATATACAAATGGTAAGTGGGCTGCGAAAGAAATCAGAGAAATAATACCCTTTACAATAGCCACAAATAATATAAAATATGCTGTGGTAACTAACCAAACAAGTGAAAGACCTGTATGACAAGAACTTTAGCTCTTTGAAGAAAGAAGTTGAAGAAGGTATTAGAAAACAGAAAGATCTCCCATACTCATGGATCAGTCGGATTTACATGGTAAAAATGGCAATCTTACCAAAAGCAATCTACAGATTTAATGTTACCCTCATCAAAATCCCAACAAAATTCTTTACAGATCTTGAAAGAGCAATACTCAGCTTCATATGGAAAAACAAAAAATCCAGGATAGCTAAAACAGTTCTGCATAATAAAGTAACTTCCAGAGGTATTAGCATCCCTGAATTCAAGCTCTACTATAGAGCTAAAGAAATAAAAACAGCACGGTATTGGCATAAAAACAGACATGTGGATCAATGGAATCAAATTGAAGACCTTGGCACAAATCCACATACTTATGAACATCTGATTTTTGATAACCCAAAATTATACTATAGAAAAAAGAAAGGATCTTAACAAATGGTGTTGGCATAACTAGATGTTTCCATGTAGAAGAATGCAAAGAGGTCTCTATCTACTGCCCTGCACAAATATCAAGTCCAAGTGGATAAAAGACCTCAACATAAATCCAGTTATACCGAACCTGATAGAAGAGAAAGTGGGAAGTAGCCTTGAATGCACTGGCACAGGAGACAACTTCCGGAATGTAATACCAGTAGCATGGACATTGAAACTGACAATAAATGGGACCTTCTGAAACTGAAAAGCTTGTAAGGTAAAGGACACTGTCAATAAGATACAATGGCAGCCTACAGAATGGGAAAAGAGCTTCACCAACCCTATATCTGATAGATCTTCCAAAATATATAAAGAACTCAAGAAACTAGACATCAAAATACCAAATAATCCAGTTAAAAATGGGGTAGAGATTTAGAAAGAATTCTTAACAGAAGAATCTCAAATGGCTGAGATACACTCAAAGAACTGTTCAACATCCTTAGCTATCAGAGAAATGCAAATCAAAATGACTCTGAGATACCATCATACACCTGTCAGAATGGCTAAGATCAAAAAAAACACTAATGACAGCTTATGTTGAAGAGGAAGTGGAGTAAGGGGAAGAGTCCACTGCTGGTGGGAATGCAAACTTGTACAGTCACTTTGGAAATTAATATGGCGGTTTCTCAAACTGGACTCAATCCACCTCAAGATCCAGCTATATCACTCTTGGGCATACACCCAAAGGATGATCAATCATACCACATGTAGGAGGACATGTAAGAGGAGGTCGCTTGTTGGTTCCCAGCCGCTTAGCTCCGAAATAACTACACAGATATAGTATCAATTAAATCACGTTTGGCCCATTAGCTCTAGCTTCATATTGGCTAACTCTTATATCTTAATTTAACCCATCTCAATTAATCTGTGCATCAACATGAAGTCGTGGCTACCAGCAAAGTTTCAGAACATCTATCTCCAGCAGCAGCCCCATGGCATCTCTCTCACTGTCTTCCTCCCAGCATTCAGCCTAGCTTTCCCCACCTAGTTCTGTTCTTCCCTGCCATAGGCTCAAAGCAGTTCTTTATTCATTAACCAATAAAAGCAATACATAGACAGAAGGACCTTCCACACCAAGGACACTTGTTCAATTATGTTCAGAGCAGCTTTATTCATAATAGCCAGAACATGGAAACAACCTAGATGCCCCTCAACCAAAGAATACATTTTTTAAAAAAAAGTGGTACATTTACACAATGGAGTATTACTCAGTGATGAAAAACAATGACATAAAATTTGCAGGCAAATGGGTGAACCTAGGAAAAAAAAATCATCCTGAGTGAGTTGACCCAGACCCAGAAAGATAAACATGGTATGCACTCATACATAATTGGATATTAGATGTAAAGCAAAGGATAACCATGCTACAATTCACAGCACCAGAAAAGCTAAGTAACTAGGAGGACCCAAGGAGGGATGTGTGAATTTCCCTGTGAAGGGGAAATAGATAAGATCTCCTGGGAGAACTGGAGGTGGGGATATGGTGGTGGAGGGGGGAAGGAGGTGGGAGGTGACAACATGGGAGACCTGGTTGTTCAAGTTGAGGGAAGGACGGATAGGGAGAGTAATGAAAAAGATATCTTGAGGGCTGGAGAGATGGCTCAGTGGTTAAGAGCACTGCCTTCTCTTCCAAAGGTCCTGAGTTCAATTCCCGGCAACCACATGGTAGCTCACAACCATCTGTAATGAGATCTGGTACCCTCTTCTGGTCTGCAGACAGACTATTGTATACATAATAAATGAATGAATGAATATTTTTTTTAATTTAAGAAAAGATATCTTGATAGAGGGGGCCGTTTGGGAATTAGAGAGAAACCTAGTACCATGGAAACTCCCAGGAATCCACAAGGATAACCCCAGTCAAGACTCCTAGCAATAGGGAAAGGGTGCCTAAACTGACCTTCTTCTGTAATCAGATTGATGGCTTCAACTTAACTGTCACCACAGACTAATTATCAACAGAGAGCCTTCAGATTCAGAGATCCACAGCCAAGCCCTGGTCGAGCTCTGGGAGGAGGGACTGTATCAGCAAGGAAGGGAGGAGGTTTCAAGATCATGATGGGGAAACCCACAGAGACAGCTGATATGAACTGATGGGAATTCAGGGACTGTGGATTGATAGGTAGGGAGGGAGCCTGTACAGGACAGTCCTAGGCCCTCTGCATGTGGGGGACAGTTGTGTAGCTTGGTCTTTTGTGGTCCCCCTAGCAGTAGGTTCAGGACATGTCCCATACTCATGAATTGGTTTTTTTAGAACCTATTCTGCATGCAAGGAAGCCTTGCCAACCCTGATGCCTCAATATGATTATGCCTTGTTGACTTCCCTGGGAGGAGGAGTGGATGCGGGGGTGTAGATGGAAGGTGGGGGAAGGGAACAGAAGAGAGGAAGGAGGGGAAATCGTGCTTGGTATGTAAAATAAATTTTAAAAATTTAATAAAAAAATCATAATGCATGCTCCAAAGTTACCACCAATATTATTCTACAGACATCAACATATTTCGCAACCTCCACGGAAAAAAAAGGCATTTAAAACATGAACTTAGGAAACTAGACACTAGCAAAATGATGATCACGAAACAGTCAGAACCATCACCAACAACCCAGATTATCTAATTAACCATTTCATTATTCCAGCCACAAACGAAAAGGAATTGTACCTTTGCGATTCGGATTCCATTGACCCACTGGTGCAGTGTCCTCACATCGTCACAGCAGAGGTACTTGATATACTGAGACTTCTTCTGGATCTGTGGGTGCTGCCAAAGGAAGGCAGAATCCACTAAATCTTGTAGAGAACTGACGCTTAACCCTAAGTCATGGTTTTAAGAAATGGCAAACCAGTGCAGACTTTTTTCTTGTTTGTTTTTCAAGACAGGATTTCTCTGTGTACTTCTGGCTGTCCTGGAACTTGCTCTGTAGACCAGGCTGGCTGCACAAACTCAGAGATCCGCCGGCCTCTGCCTTCCAAGTGTTGGGATTAAAGGCATGCACCACCATGCCCAGCTTGATACACACTTCTTATATAAAGTGGAATAAAACAGCCCATACTTATATTTTTTAAATAAAGTATATATCATGTTAAATTTTATGTCAAGTTGTCTATGTAAACCATCCCACTTGGGAAGTTCTTAAATATTCCCTTTTACATATCTATGAAAAACTCTATCAAGATTAAGTCAGCAGATCTCCGTATATAAGACTGAAACTGGAAAAGAAATATTTATCCAGGAAATCATGGTTTAGAAGCTCCAAAGGAGAAGGTCCTTTCCCGTGGGTAAACAACTACACCAGGCACGTAAGGAACACTTAGGACAAAAGTCCCCAGTCACACCTGACTGGTGGAACAATACTTTGTAGGCTTCTTTCTTTACAAACTGCAGCGTGCACTCTTTGGTGGGATAAGAGGATAGTGTTGAAGTTTACTCTTTCCCTGCAATATTTTATTAGAAATTAAAATGAGAGAAAAAATTAAGATAAAAGAATACAATTGTGCCCAAATACCTCTTAATATTTAAGATAGGAAAAATATCATTATGGAACCTGTGAGAAAATTCCTCTATATACTCAGAGAACAAGAATGTGGAGGCAGGTAATATCTCAGTATTACAAGCCTAATGTTGATATAATGGTCTTCGGACTTAACAAGCCACTGGCTGAAGTTACCTCCTATCAACTTCTTAAGAATTATTGGCTACTGTATGGTGACACACATTTGTAACCTCCGTAATCTGAAGGCCAAGGTAGAGGAGCCCAGGTTTGAAGCTAGATTGGGCTACACAGGAAGGCTGTCTCAAAAAGATGACGATAAGAAAAAAACAAAAAACTAAGACAAATTAAAAAGCAAAAACAAACTAAGCTGCTTCTGTAACTAACTTCAATGATGCATTCATGTTGTCTAAGAAAGTTTATTTAATACAGGACTGCTATTATAATACATCCATTTTTACCAAAGAAATCAGAATCTCACCCCAAATCCTAAACAAATGGGTACTCCCTAAACCCAACTAAGGCTTCTCACAGAAAGCAAGTATGATACAAACATGAAAACCTAAGTAGTACTGAGAGTCCTGAAGATGGAGTCACTGAGTATTACTTAATTCTCTCAGTAACTTTTCTTGAATCTTTGTAGGCTGCTGTGAGAATTCCTTCAGTCAATAACCTTTAAGGTCACATGATATATATATCTATATTATATATACAGATGTAAAAGCATGTACGGTCCTTCTTGGCTGTTGGGTTTGGACCCAGTTCCGCACCCACACAGAGGACGACTGAACACCACCTTTTTTAGTGAGTCTACCCCTAAATAATAAATAAACTTCCATTCTGGGCTAATGTGAGATTATTTTATTATAAGCTGTCACAGTAGGCTATCTTTATAAATGTTAACTTACATAGCTGAAAATACTAAAACGTGCCCACTCTCCTCTAGTGTATGGCCACAATTAATGTGAGAAACTTAAAGCCTGACTGAACGAGAAGAAAACTCCCTAATAAAAGCATAGATAACAGACTAGTATGGTTATAATTTGGGGGAAGGTATAGACAGACCTAGTTATTCCTCAACCAGATGAAAACAGGAATTTTGAACTTGGGAATAGTACCCTCTTAAGGTTTTACTAATAAAGTTGAGGAAAACCACAAAATAAAATACATGTCGGACAATAAACCTTTTTTTCCACAACAGGGTTCTGATGCTCCTGAGTGCTGGGATTACTGGTATAAGCTACTAGGTCAAACTCTACTTTTACCTTGTTCTCCCTGATGCTAGGATGGAGCAAAAAAATAAATAAAGAAAGAAAGAAAAAAGGGGAAAAAAAACCTTAATATTTAACCGCTGAGCTACCCCTAGTCCTCCTATCTTTTTACAAAGACACAGAATCTATTTGAAGATTCAAATGTCAAGTAGCCTCTATCTAATGCTGATCACAATTGCTGAGCTGTACCTTTAACGCCAGACAACAGTCTGTGGGTGCTTTGTACTTGCTCCGATAGTCCTGCCCATAGTACACATTAACATGATCCAGCTGAAGAAAGCACACCAGTTCCCGAGATACCTTAAAAACAAAACAAAACAAAACAAAAAACCAAAGATTAATTTAATAATGCAAATAAGCAAGTATCATACCAGGTAAGAGTTTTCAGTTGGGAATCAAACCTTTATTAGGTAGAAAGTAAGATTATAATATTTTTCTCCGTCTACAATATAACCAAAAAGGCAGACTACTTTGCTTGTTGTTTGTAATTCCTAATGAATATTGATTTAGAGATGTTGGTACTTTAAGCATGCTATACACATGCATATCACATCACAGCTATAGTTAACAGGTACAGGTGGTAATAGCAATGCTTGTAGGAAAGAGTAAGAATCTATCAAGTACCTGAATGGCTATAATACCAGGCCCAAATACAGTGATTCTCACCTGGGAATCACATCAGCAGGCAGAGGTGATGCTTACACTCATAGTTTTTAGGACTAGAATGATACTGTAAATGCTTAGACTAGCTTTGAACCCAAATAAGCACAAATGATAGTATATACCTCAGCAAAAGCACATTACTCAAGATGAAGCTAACGTAATCCTAGAAAGCCATTCTCCCTGGATGAAATACGCACAACTCCAGCAAGACCTTCCCCAAACCTCCCAAATAATAAAACTATGTTTAGCTGATGCATACCTGTAACCCCAGCATTTAGGAGTAGAAGGGGGGAGTCAAGAGGGCCTAGAGTCCAGTGTCATCCTATTCTACATAGTGATTCTGAGGCCAGCCTGAGCTACATGAATAAGATCTTCCCATTACAACAACAAATCCCAACAGGGAAAAGATAGTAGAGAATTGAGATAAACCCAAATAAAGAGCAAAGAAGTGAACAGTTTTTAGCTTCCTCTTCTTTACAACAGATGAATAAACAACATTATCTTCTGTGTGTCTTAACACAGGTACAATAGTATTCTTCCTATGGAGTCATAGCAGCCAGCATAATGTAGGAAGCACAGAAGTGCAGAGAAGTAACATACCTTTGCTTTTCCTTTAGGGACATAGTAGATGCCAGATGCTCGCAAGAGAAAGTAACGCTTCTTCCAGGACTTCTTGCCATCGTCTTTTAACCAAAGGACTCCTTCAATTTCTGGGACAGTTACAGAACTTCCACAAAAACATTCCTTTAAAAAAGAAAATCATTTGGAAAGATTTATGATCTTTATATTTTCAGAAAATGAATTAGCTACTCCTGTGAAATGCGTAACACTAAGTAAAGCAAAACAGTTTTGTATTAAAACCACACCAGTTTTCTGAAAGAACTTTCTATTCTAAACACAGTAGGAAAGTACTTTAGAATTACTGTGGTAATCTAAACTGTTTATTAATAAATATGTGTCATGGGGCTAAGAAATAGCTCAGTGGGTAGAGTGTTTGCTGGCAAGCATGAATACCTCAGTTTGAATCCCACCACCTATATAAGAAGCTGAATATGGCTACCATGCTTGCTGGGTAGCCAACTTAGTTCAGAGGGGCTAAGGTAGAGTGAGAGAAGAAGATACCTGGCATTCTCCTCTAGCCCGTGTCTACGGATAGGGGTGTGTAATCCTGAATGCCCATGTACATACACAACACACACATAGCACAGAAGATGTCTGACTCCACAGTGCTGAGATTAAAGGTGTGTGCCACTACTGCCCAGTGGGAAATATTCTTTATTATAGTCAAGACAGTGGCAGGTGGATCTTTGTGAGTTTGAGGCCAGCCTGGTCTACAGAGTAAGTTCCAAGATAGCCAGGGCTATGCAGAGAAATACTGTCTCAAAAAACAAAAACCAAACAAACAAAAAAGAATATTTTCCTATGAACTCAACTGAGTTGCATATAATACTACTGAGTCCCACTTCCTTTTCTTTGTGTGTTTCTGATGTGTGGTGATATGGACGTCTGGAGGCTAAAGGCTGATGTCAGGTGTCTTCTTCAGTTGCCTTTTACCTTAGTTTCTGAGACATGGTCTCTCACTAAGCTCAGAGGCTGGCTAGTGCATGCCAGGAATCCACTGTGATTACAAATGCACAGTCCTCTGCCTGGCTTTTACTTAGGGGCTGGGGCTACCAACTCAGTTCCTCATGCTAACTAAAAAACTCACAGGGCTATCTGACCCTCTGGAAAAGCTGATATAACCAGCACAGGCATATTTTAATTCCTCCTATCTGGAAACCCTTAAAAGGTTTTAAGACTCCTTTTAGTCTACTAGAATATTGCTTGGCAAAAAGTAGTTTGTAAAAGATTTGTTAGGGACTCAACAGGTACTCACAGTTAGAACACTGACAGAGCTGACTTCAAAGATGCTTACAGTTTCAATTTTAAAATGAGCAAGGAAGGGAGAGTGAGCCATACCTCTAACAGCACTTCTTTGTTTCTGTCTGCCATCTCAACTGTTTCCTTTTTCCCAAGAAGGTAATTCTAAAAAAAAGAAGAAGGAAGGAAGGAAGGAAGAAAGGAAGGAAGGAAGGAAGGAAGGAAGGAAGGAAGGAAGGAAGGAAG